TGATCAGGAGCGTTTGAGCTTTTATTTGGTATATTTGGCGTATGAACTCCTGTAACTATCCAGTGGAATAAAGGAAAGTCTGTTGGACTCACATGGCGGCGTTTACCTTAAATACTGAGATAAACAGCAAACTTAACCCGTTCGTAAGACGTTTATATATTTTCCACCTTCCACGTATTTTCTTTCATTTAAAATTTAAAAAATGTGATGAAAAACAAAGACAGGCCTCCATTTCTTTGTCTTCCATCTACCTGTCAAACCACGGTGGCCACGGTAACATGAGCCCCTGTTATTGTCGTCGTCCCCCCCCCCCCCCCCCCTTCTCCTCCTGCCCGGTGTTTTGTTTGAAACCAAACCTCCACGTCCCCCTCTATGGTGGCGACCTGACTTTACACATGAAAAAAAGAAGAAGAACGTGACCCGCTTCCTGTCTCATTTGTTCTCATGGAGGCCCTTTGTTTTGTTGTATTCACTGCCTTAAAAGAGTAGGCACATCTGGCTGTGGAAGTACAAGTTTCACCACTTGTTGCGGCGCACACACACACACACACACACACACACACACACACACACACACACACACCACACACACTGGCAAACCGCCACATCTTCATCCAAGCTCATCACAGTCCCCTGAAGAGGGAGCTGTTGTTTTATTTGTGCCTCCATTCCCACAGAGGGTTACACAGTCTTATCCCTACTTCTAATTTTAACTTCTTTAGTTTCTAATCTGTCATTTCCAACATATGTTCATGATTTTCCCTGCAGTCGGGCAGTGATCTGCAGGTCTTTGTGAGACGGCGAATAGCCCGAATCAACTTCTTTTCTGTTTTTGCTTTATGTTCTCTTCAGCCCATTAACCAGTCTAAGCTCGTCTAATAATATAAGGTGAATAATTAAAAGAAAAAGATAGGATAACCTTGCCTTAGGTCTGTGTGGGAGTGGGACATATGGGAAAATTCTGCCTCAGCCTTTCCGTCAGAGTCGCTCTCGCTGACTTGTTCGGTGTTGAAAGAATATGAAATTCTTCTTAACCTAACCAAGCTGTTAGGTGTGTAAACTGCATCAAAACACAACAAAACTAAAGCGAGTCTTCAGATTGTGGACTGTGTGTATTTTGAGACCGGCCTGATCCTCCTGTTGGTTTGGCGTTGCACCTTATTGGTCTGCAGCTTGAAGACTCCAGCTCCAGTGAGAGCGCAGAAAGGTGCATATTTCACTTGCTTTATTGGATTGTCCTTACAGATTTTCCAATATGTGATTGCACACAGTCTGTTTGACATTTTACATTTTTAAAAACATTGTTAGTATTTTAAAAACATACAGACAAAATAATAGATTTATAATTTAGAAAGTTACAGCAGCTTATTTATTTATGTTTATAAAAATTTATACACAGCCACAGTTGTGTTATCTTTTGTGCTGTCTTTCTATTTTAATGAAAACTTTATTTTCTTTAGCACTACCGCATGCATTTAAATTTAGAGCTGAGGCAGAAGGGGTAGAAAAACAAAAAGCAGCATGCAGGTTTATAATTACTCTGCTGCCTTTAAAATAAAGTGTGATACTGTAAGTGTCTTTATAATCTCATGGGTCTGTTGTCAGTGGACAGTGATGTACACTCTATTTAGTTTCTAAAATAAATACCAGCCAAATCACTTAAATCACTTTCCTCCTCATCCTGATGCTCTGGTTGAACTTCAGCAGATCTCATTGGCATCAGTATGTTGAGTTGCTGTCATGTGATTGGCTGATTGGGTTGTGTATTGAGTGTATGTAATGTGAAATCATCTTGTGGAGGGTTGTCCATGAACAGTGACATATTTGCATTTTTAGAGTAAAAGAGCTCGGGGCAGCTGTAAAGTGAAGAGAGGTAATTCGATTTGGTAACGCTGCTTGAACAGAAGCATCGTTAAAGGTCCGGCCTTTGTTCAGGTCATTTAAAAAAACAAAACAAAAAAAAACTTATCAGTCTCTAAAGGTTTAGCAGCATTAACAGCATCTATAGTGTAAACTCATTTTCCATTTATGAATAGCCAGCAGCAGATAAAATTACATGGATCCATTTCATGTAATCTGCATTAGTAAACAAGCCCTTTACCTCCTCTCTAGTTTTCTGTTGATCAAGCTATCATCCAAGATAATGTTCCTTTAGAAGCTCCAGGGATCGGATATGAGAGATGTTTATTACAAATAAAGTGAGTAGAATATTAAAGCGCACAGAGACTCACCAAACATGCCAGGGTATAAAGTTATTTCTCAGAATTCACTTACGATCCATTACCATCCCACCCTGTCTCCTGTGTCACATGTATCATGTTTTAACGGGCCTCTCTCTAACACACACACACACGCGTGCATGCAATGCTTCCCCGTGTGTTTAATTACAGCCATAATAGCACTTGGATGGAACTAAGTTTGATAAGGCACTAATGACAATGCGATTTGGGAAATTCCCTTTTCCCGCTCTCTCAGCTTCGTCCTCGTCATCTCATACATCAATCTTAATTATGAGTCTTCCTAATGTGTTTTCCTGGGATTTACTCTTTCATATTTCAAGATTGACAAGCGCCAGCAATTACTGTCTGTCGTTGTTACGTGGATATATATCTACAGTCACATGATGGCCTCCCAAGGTGACCAGAGTGGGTTTTTCTAATGGTGATGTTGGGTGGCTGGTTGGGGGAGATGGGGGGTCAGGGGTAAAGTGGCATTTGTGCGTGCAGCTCCTTTCTTGATTTATGTGGAGGCTGTAATGACATCATATTCAACAGCCGAAGGGTAATAATTAGATATCAGCTATGGAGGCTTAGGCTCTTCTTTGTTAGCGTGCTCCTGTTCTCTGCTCACATCGCTCTTTTCTTTTCCCTTGAAGTAAATACGCTTTTAATTACTTTACATAAATTTTAAAGTGTCGTTATTCACAGCGAAACTACTGACAAGAAGATGCTGGCATTAAAGAGCCTCTTACAACGTAAACCTGTCGTTGCATTATATTTAACTTCTTTTCTTCTTTTCCAATGAAAAGTCACGAAATGTCTTTTAATAAAGCTTCACCTGTTTATGTTGTGAAACTGCTCCTCAGATCTGATCAGTAAAGTTTTTTTTATCAGAATTGTGTACATTCGACCCAGTGCTGGATCATTTTAGGGAAATGACTGAAGTAGATTGCTAAAGTCCTGGTCACGCGTCCTAGAGACCACCTGTCACTGGTGAAGTTGCTGCCAGCATGAATTGGTCATAAGAAGGAATACCACGCTGGAACGAAATCCTCCCACAATCGCTTCAGTCAGGATAGACGTGTGCAAGAAAGACTGCAAATGCTTGCAACTAGTCACTGAGCTTCAGTGAACTTTGAAAAGGTGTGACGCAAACCAGAAACTGTGAACACTCACTTCAAGTAAAGCTGCATCTTTTGCTGAGGCATAGCTTAAAAGTTTTAAGGTGAACGTTCTCCGTTCCAGTTCGTTTCACACTTTTTTACTAAAGCTCAGAGAGTAATGGCGAGTCTTTGCCGATCATTGGTGTCTTCTGCAACCTGGCGTGTCAATCTGCTAGGGACCAAAGAGCTCACAAGGAACTTTTTGGCGCTCCACCTCACTGTGACCATTTCACTGGTAACAGGGAGCAGCCTCCAGCAAACACTCACCACTGTCAGAATACACGTTTCCCTACCTGACTGGTCTCTAGGCAGTGTGGCTGACAATTGCTGATCGATCACTTCCTCTCTTGTTGCTTCCCAGAGGCCCACTCTGAGTCAGCAAGAACGCTGTTCTGGGCAATGAAACCCGTTTTATAACATTTAGTTACCGTTTACCTGAGACCGCAGATTTACTTATACCTTCCGCAGCATTCCCGGTAGAGATCATCTTTATGTGTTTGAGTGTTTTACCGCTGCATGACTGACCTGTCAGTGGCTCATCAGCATGCAGTCATTAAACAGCTGCACTCTTCTTTTAGCAATACAGTCGTCTTTCTCCCGTGTATAACATTTTAGGAAGCTGTCAATTATCCAAACACTGACTAAAATTTCTTTCTCCTGTTCCTGCTGCCAAAGCAGCAAAACCGCACCTTGTTCTTCTCTGCAGGCTGGTTCACTCTGGAAACTTTTAGCAGATAAAGCTAATCACATTTTCTTCTCTCTGTATCTACACAAACGGATGCATTTAGTAACTTAAGTTTCATGTAGCTGTGTTTATTGGCTTCTTAAACTGAGTCAACTTGAAACGAGCGTGTGCGCCTCAAACCTTCAAAAATAACACTGAGACGACATCTAGCTTTGACTGTGTATTCAGCGGTGGGTGTGACAGCGGTGCTTTGTTCTGTCCATTAGAAGAGGCGGTGAATGTTATTACATGTCCGCTCTCTCATTTTTCCTTCCTGCCCTGTTTTTATGTTTTTTATCAGTAGGATCGTGCACAAGCGATACTGCAACATGCAGAACGATCAATATTGAATTTTTTTTTATGTGACTTCTGGTATTTCTTCATTATTTTATTTTTTTGGCATGCATCAGTAATGATCTGGGTGTTGTTGTTATTGTTGTTGTTGTTGTTTTTAACAACAGGGGTGAAGTGTGTCATCTCTGCAGCCTGCAAATCCTGTGCAGTAAATCAGTTTCCTAGTTTCTATTTGTATTTTATTCTGTTAGCTGTTTATTTTTCTTAATGGTGTCTGGGTGATTGCATCAGTCAAACAAAAAAACCCAACTTGAATGTAATTAGCAGTTTTTGCTGCAGTCATCGCAGCAGCATGGAAACCTCAACATCTGCTTTCCCTCTAAAAACACCGGGCCGAGCAGCGAAGAAGACAAACACATGCTGAGCTCTCGAGCTTCCTGTAAATGGTAATGTGCCTGTAGTGTGTTTATTGTTATCCGTTTTAAAAAGAAAAAAGTGTAATAGTCTGGACTTATTTGTGAAGAAGAGAGTTATCAGGTCTTTCTCTTTAACTGATTGGAAGCAGCTCAGTAAAGTTTTCTTTTGTTTCTGTTTCCACAGGCGGTCGGAGGAGGAAGTGGATATGGACAAAGTGACGGCCGCTATGGTGCTGACGAGCCTCTCTACCAGCCCGCTGGTGAGGAGCCCACCTGTGAGAGTCAGTGGTAAGCATCATTAGTACTAAAAAACAGCCGTAAATAAATATTTCCTTTTATGCGTCACTTGGCTATTTTTCTAATAACATAGCAGAAGTTTTATGAAAAGCGAACTAAAACAAGTCGCTGAGCCAATAATTTGTGTGTTTTCCTGTACGCTGTGTTTCATTCCCTCACAGCTGTTATCTTGTGAATGCATGTGGAAGCTTAAGGTTGATAAATTACTGCCACCTGCTGTGCTGTAGGATCATCTCATCAATGAGCTGTGGAAATCCAAAGAAAAGCACAATGAGTCTGGATCTCTGCCACTCAAAGTGGCGGAAGTCCAAAATGCCCCACAACTGCAATCTCGTGAAACCATTTAGGCGGTCTTTGTAACCAGCCTGCTGTCCTTCCAGCCGAGCAGACGCGCAGCCAACCACCGTGCACGTGGTGTCACTGCCGTACGTCATGCACAGATGAACAAACTGGGCTTTAAATGCTAACTGTACACTTTTTATCTAAATGTAGTCATGTAGTTTGAGATCACACAGCGTGCACGGAACACAGAGCACTGCTGATATCTCTCAAATGAACCAGTAGTCTTGTTGTTCTGACCACTCAGAGCCTGTGCTGCTGCTGAGCCACATCCTCTTTTATGTTAAATGTTCTGCCGAAGAAACGAGTGAAGAGAGAAGAGAGAGGCACCCTGCCAGGAAGCAGCTTCACTAAACCAAACTGGGTCTCTGTCTCTCTCACACACACATGTACAATCACTGCAAAGTTTTCCCCTGCTTCACTAAGTGAAATGCCTTTTGTGGCTGATATTCAAAAGAAACTCTTCTTTGATCTTAAAAAAAAGAAGACCTTGGAAGTGTCTCGGTGGAATCACACAACAGGAGAGTAACCTTTATTTTCTTGTGTCATAGTGAAGACTGCTTCTGGGAGGCTCTTTTTTTGTGAAGTGCAAATATAGCTGTCTGAACCTAATTGGATGTCTTGATCTCATCCTTTGTTGTGTTTGTAGCATTTACAGATATAACTAAAGAAGTTTGAGCTTCTGTTAGATAAACTCTCCATCTCCTGTTCCTCTGTGTCTTCAGAGGGTCTGAGTGGATCGTGGAAAGACAACGGCTCGGCCGGACCCTTCACCCCATCGAGCAACAGCTCCTCGGGGGCTACTGGAGCTGGTCTGCTCCGAGCGATCAGTCCAACCCCTCCACACCATCCCCACCGCTCTCTGCAGACAGCTTCAAGCCCTTCCGTGTACCCAGCCTGGGAGGGGTGGGGCCTGGCCCCGCAGGACCTGAAGACCCCATTCTGGATGAGCAGGACGGGAGCAGCCTGCTCTTTGATGAGCCCATCCCTCGCAAGCGCAAGGTGAATAGAGTTTAGCTGGGTAAAAATCCTGTGTGGGTTCTCTGGATACTCCGGCTTCAGTCCAAAGACATGAGTTTAGTGGGGTTTGGTTAATTGGTGATTCTAGATTATCCATGTGAATGTGAGTCTGAATGGTCGTCTGTCTCTCTGTGTTAGCCCTGTGACAGACTGGCGACCTGTCCAGGGTGTACCCTGCCTCTCGCCTTGTGATCTTGATGCGCTTCCCCTGTCTGACACAGATGGTCTTTTTAAGGCACATTTCTTTTAAAGAGAGGGTGGAGGAGGGTGAGGCCACTGAGGTGATCATATTAGCTATATCCTTACTCAATGACAGAGCCAAGAGTAGGACAAAAAACACATGAAACGGGGTTTATAGCAGACTGAGCCGACTCCCTGTGAGGGATTACTTGTACATGCGTTGACCTCGTATTTGAAATCTTTAAAGCGAGTATCACTGCTGTACGGGAAAATCATATACACAGAAAACAAGGACGAGCATCAAATGCCCCTTCAAAATGATGAAAACCACTGCACGCTGTGTTTTCCCAACACGATTTTTCGAGTCAGTTGAATTTATGCTAATATCATCTCGATGGTTCTGTAAATTTAGCAGAAAAGAGACGAAGCCAATAAAGATTTGAGCCAAACTCAATGGTTAAACTTAATTTTTGTTAGTGTGTTTTTAGACTCAAAATACTGTTGAAGAACTTTAACTGTACAAAAGCAGTTATGCTTCATGGATAACAATCAGCAGCCAAGTTACCTGGTAAACATCTGCCATCAATGCAGCATCAAGAGAAATAAGAATGACTGTCAATCAGGGAGTTATCAGCACTGGATTATTTCTGATACAACCATATTAACATGGTAGCAGTTTTTCATTGTTAAACATCGGCACTGTTAGTAGTTAATCATCACGGGGTTAAGGGAAGGAGATATGATGATATGTTTCCCAGGTGCTTTTGTCCCACTTGTGGCTTCACTTTTATTACCGTGTGGTGCATTAAAAGCTTTTTTTGAAGGAAACAGTCGCACTGATCCTGATAGCAGGCATATCTGGAGGTAAGAATAAAGGTCGTGAACTTGTCTTTGAGATCCCGCCACATGTACATGAGCTGGTTGATTTCTCTTCTGCAATATTAACCTGTGAGGTTACTGATGTAATTTAGTTTCTGACTGATAGGCGGAGAGGGAAATTGGACAGGAAAGGACACAAAGCCTTTTTGCTCCGGTCTTGAGTTTCGTGTCACGCGTCCTGGCCACACACACACTTTCTTTCACACTAATCATTTCACCTCGTCTCATCACTACGCGCCACTGACAGCTCATCACATCTACACCACGCTGTCACTCGTTATTTGTCCGACGTATATTGCGTCGCTCTCTCTCTCTCTCTCTGCCTTCATCTCGGGGCTCTCCTCTGCTTATCAGCGCTCCTGTGTGCCAGTTTGCCGACGGTATCATCCATCTCCCCCTCCTTTCATTCTTTCCTCTCCCCTGCTCTCGCCTCTGTTTTCTCCCCTCTCTCTTCCGTTCTCGCTGCTTGAGTGTGTCCTCCCCAGACATTTGTCCTTAATAATTACTTCCTTAGCCTTCACGTGTAGCTCCTCTCAAAAACACAGTAATGATTTGAATTCCCTCAACGGCAAACAGAAAAGATTCTGCTGGCCTAAAAAAAAAGAAAAGAAAAGGGGGGGGAAATCGATAGACTCTTTAGTGAGCTCCACGTTGGCGCAGTGTACTCGGATAATTGGGAAGATCACAAAGAAGGGCGTGGAGGGAGGAGAAAGAGAGGGAGAAACGGGAAGAGAGATGAAGGTTGTGGATGAAAAATTAAAGAGTGACTAACAGGAATTACATGAAAAAGGAAGAGAGCGCAGACGGAGGCTTGAACAGCGTCTCCGAAAGCTCCTATAATGTTGGCTTAACAAGTCGCACTCACACAATCTATACGTGCAGATGCCAGGCTTCCTCGTGAACTTATCTACATGCTACTCGCGTGCTCTTGTTTTTCTCCTGGCAGCGCCGCACCGTTTGAGGCTCCCCATTTAATTAACTGTGAAATGTTGCTTTAAAGGGGCGCACACGCTCGCCAACACAAAATCGGCTTTTGTTACGCAAAGACAAAACAATGCAATCGGGGAAGGGGGGCACGTGATTGCTGTGTGTATGTGTGAGAGTGTTTCTGAAAGAGAGAGAAAATTAGAAATAAAACATGTTGTCAAAGTTAAATCAGCCTGCTTAACAATAGCTTGACAGACGTGGTTATAAGACCGTTTATAATAGCTCGGAGCGAGAGTGCAGGAAGGCAGGGAGGAAGTTCACGGGGCTCTTTTACTCCATGAAAACAATACACGGTCTCTGTAGGACGCCGGTGGTTTAATTACATTAGGCAGATCAGAGACACTGGAGCATCACCGCCATTGTGTCCACGGTAACACCAGAGATAGATGCTGCATTAAAGCTGTGTGTCTATTTTGTTTTCCTCCCTAGTTTTAATCTACATCATTTCAAAGTGACACTTTATAGTGTAACGCAAAGACTTTAAATATGGTATCATAAACTGATCACTCTGAAGGAGACTGCAAGTCCTTTAAATCCTTTAAATTCCCAACGTAAACATGGCATATCTGCATTTTAATCTAGGACAGGTATGACGTTGAACAATGAATACTAGCAGGGTGTTAGTGAGGCAGTGCAGCAGCATGTTTAATCTGAGAAATTTCATTTATCTCCATATATCGCCTTAATTTAGTAAATTATGGTTATTTTACTCTAAAAACAGCCCCTACATCAGAATGTTGTAATTTCTATGTATGTGTTTGTTCGTTTAAAATAAAATGGCATGTGATGTGCAAAAAAAGAGCAAGTTGCAATTTAAATTTTACACTTTTTAAATGGATTATAATAGTACAGTGGATATATTTTTTTGTACCTACTTTGCTACCTGAGCGAATTTTCATTTCTGTGCAGTCTTAAACGAACTGTAATGTTATCAGTGACTTTATACTGTACATTGTCCACTTGATTAGGTACACCTGCTCGTTAATGAAAATGAGAGTTTTTCTATAACCAAAAAATTTTTTCTGTAACCTTTATCTGAACATGTCTGTGGTGCGGATAAACTTTTTCCGTGTTAATGGCAGATATTAAAAAACACATCCTTCAGAGAAAAGAAGCTTTCATGTGTACGATTTCTTGTTATGTACCCTGCAGTTGTTGCGTGTGACTCTCTGAAGTTGGCATCAGAGCGCCAGCGAAACACTGATGTGCTGTGTGTCTCCTGCAGAACTCCATGAAGGTGATGTTCAAGTGCCTGTGGAAGAACTGTGGCAAGGCTGAGTACTGCCGCTGGCATTCAGAGACACATCCGCACCATCCACCTGGGGTAAGACACAGACGGTCTGCATACACACCTGAGATAAAGTCCACTCGAAGCCTCAAAACGGCTCTGCTGCTCATATCCTGCCTCTGGTTGATGACTTACAGGTTATCAGCATAGTAATATGTCCCAGTGATACTGGATAGATGGCTAACCTGACCTTTAGGTGGAGATTTACATTCATGATGTATTTCTGTCTGTCCTGCCCCTGCGCTCGTCTCCCAGTCGTAACTGTGACTCAGACCTCAGCGACGGTGAGGAGGACTTCTACTACACGGAGATTAAGCTGAACACGGACTCGGTGGCCGACGGGCTGAGCAGCCTGTCCCCAGCTTCGCCTCTGTCCTGTCTCCCCCGCCTCCTCCCCCGTCTCCTCTCCCCTCGGTCAGCCAGCTGCCAGACTCCCATAAACCGACTCAACCCTCTGACACCAAGGAGCCCCACGCCGGCGGCACCACGCCGCTCAGCCGCTCTGCACCCAGCGCTCTCTACCTCATCCACACAGACCATGCCTACCAGGTGATGAAGACTTATGTGCTCTGTATACGTCCCTCAGTTTCTCACACATTACTATCGAGGTCCTTGTTACGCTGACGATGTGTCACAGTGTTCGTAAACACACTAAAGATCTCGCAGCGACTTGTGGTCCCTCCCTCCCTATAGCAGCTGTGCTAACAGTTGCGGTCTATCAACACACAAGCAGCAGGTTTGAATAATTAATTAAAGGTTGAAAAATGACACAATTTATCTATTTTAGCCTCGGTTTTCAGATTATTGTTTGAAGAATAACCGCCATTAGCTTTCCATTAATATCTGTGCATCTAATATTAATGCAGAGCTGCACGCTTGAGGTCTGACATGAGTAGTTATGTTTCTGATAAAGGCCAAAAATCTGCCTTGAAAAAAACCTTCTTTGAATAAAGTATATTTATCCGACCATTAAAATCTACCTCACCTAGAAAATAACAAAAGAGGGTTTTTTTTAACAAAAAAATGTAATAGAAAGAGAAATCTGACCCAAAAAAAGAAACCTCCTCTG